GGCAGGCCGCCGGCCGAGTCAGCCCGACTGCCCGGTTCAGCAGACCGGCAGTTCGGTCCAGACCGGTTCAGACCGGCAGGACCGGTTCAGTCAGTACTTGTCAGTTTCAGTCCCGGTTTTCAATTTCAGTATTATTTTCAGTTAAAATTTCTGGGTCAAGTCTAGTTCAGTTAATTAATATCAGTTCAGTTTCGTACTTAACCGGTTTCAGTTATACCGATTAAGTCCGAATATCATGTCAGGTTCAGTAGAGCATCTTAACATAATTAATCAGTTAATTTATCAGTCTGAGCATAGTCAGTAGTAATTATTTATATTATTTTCAGTTTGATCAGGCATCAGCAATACTGTTCAGTTTCAGCAGTTCAGGTGGGGACTCAGACTAAGTACTACATTGTTTATAATTACGCTACCATGTTTGAGGTATGTATTATCGGTTCAATATCCGCTCAGAATGGTCGCCGGTCCATTCTGGGTTCTAGTGGCCCTAATCTGCCCACTAGAGTGTGCACATGGTGTCCGGTTTTAGTTTTTGCCGGTAGATGTTCAGTTATCAGTTACGTGACTTACGTCGCGAGATCAGACCGGTATCAGTTATCAGTTATCAGTTATCAGTTATCAGTTTAAGTTTCAGTTTCAGTTCAGTTATATATGCCAGGATCATGATATTGTTATTATATTCACTGTTTTACTTTAGTTTGAGTTTCTGCGGAGCACAGTGCCTTAGTGCTCACGCCCCCACATATTTCATGTTTTTCAGGTCGCAGAGTCGGGGACGAGGAGTGAGCTGGCGGGCAGTTCAGAATTATTGTGGATGTATATTTATGTTTTGGCCACGCAGTTATTCCGCTAAAACTTTCAGTATTTAAAATCAGTTTTTTATCCGACTTTAGTCGGTTAATGTTTTATGAAACCGTTTTATTATCAGTTTAAAGTTTTACGGTTTTTCGGAAAAAGTCAAGTTTTCACGGTAGCATCCCGAATCAGTTTTCGCAAAATTAAAAATTTTATTTATTTATTCAATAAATTTGCAAAAAGCGCGTACTCTGATAGCAGTAAAAAGTCAGGATGTTAAAAATGGTATCAGAGCACGTTTCTGCGTCTCTGAAAAGTTTTTCAGTCAGTAATTTTCAGAAAAACCTGAACCGTCACGCTCACACCTCGTCGACTCCAGGTAAGTGCTGATTCAGTTTTCAGTTATAAACATATTACTTTGTCTATGCTCAGAAATCAGTAATCAGACTTAGTTAAGATGCTCGAATCAGATTCAGACTTTAGAGTTCCGATATGACTCTAGAATTCAGTATATTCATGACTCTAGAATTTAGTATCTTCCGAGATGACTCTAGAGTTCTTCAGGAATCATGTCAATAATTATTGGCCACTTTTGGCAACTCGTCAAGAAATCTGTGTGCCTTAGCAATCAATTAGAATATTATCACGTGTTCAATAATGTTGAACTTTTCCAATGTTCAGATGCCGCTCCGTAGGGAACCCGATCACTCGGCTCCTACTCAGGCCACAGTAGTCGCACAGTTTCGCGACTATCATGTTGAGAAATTATCCGGGCAGGGAGATCCCCGTATAGTGGACGAGTGGATTCAGAACCTTAGAAAGGGACTGAGTTGAAAACTCTAGATTTAATTCTAGATTTACTCAAGTCAAGTTAGCAACTTGTCAGGAGATTTGTAAGCACTTGTGCTAAACAAATCTTAATAATCATGTTTCTCAGATGTTTCCATCGAAAACTTCCATTTTGCCAATCAAAGTGGCAGACTTCAGAGAGAAATTTCGTGATTCAATTCGAGGAATATACTCAAATTTCTTAAGTCAGATCAGTAAATCATGTTCAAGGCAAAAATTTTTCATGTTAAAGGTTGTTATAATTCTCAAGTATTGTTAAGGTAACGGTTTCCAGTGTATAAGAGTCAATAGTCCGGGTTACCATGGAGGCTTGAAATAATAGCCATTCAGTCGGGTATACCATGGAGGCTTGAAGCTGAAACCGGAGCAGTATGATTTCATGTAATAACCACCTTTCAAGTCAGTAATATCAGATATTTTATCAGTCATGATATTTCAAGTTATGATTTTCAAAGATCAAGATCAGCTAATTACTTTGTACTTGCGGGACCAGTTGATACTGGAGCAGCCCTATACAGTACAGAGTTATAAAATCATGTTCACGATTTACAGTTTATGTTCATGATGTAAGGTCGACGTATAATAGTTGTTCAGCCGGGTTAAATGTGGCGGTCTGATATACAGACCATTAGTCCAAATTTACCTGGAAACTTGAAGTCGCACCTTATCAAGTCAAGTAAGTCAGTAAATATCACGTTTTCAACTCCGAAGCGACTATTTAGTTGTCTCGGGATAGTTTCAGAATTCAGACAAAGATGATTCAGTCATGTAAGAGTCAGGTCATGGTTAATCAGTCATGAGAATATTCAGGCCAGTCATGTCAAGATCGAGGATAGTCTGTCTAATAAGACAAGACTTATCTAGCATTTTCAGTATAATCAGCGCCTCGATTCTCAAATTCTGATGAATCTGAGAAATCGTGGGAGATAGTCATTCATGATGGACTTCTTCCTGAGGTTAAATTTAACCTCGGAGGAAGTAAACAGTTGCAGGTACAACAGGAAGGCATACGCCGTGACGAAGAAGGGCCAATCGATAGTAACAGATCGTGCAGTGATGACAAACCAACGCCTTCCATTCCAAGATGCCATGCTTGAGTCACAGTACACTGGAAGATTACAGAGAGTTAGTATTAAAGTACATTGAGGTTATTAGCTTGAGGTGTAGATGCGATCAGATTACGTCGACGACGCAGGTGCAATGTTCGCCAGGTGCTGTATGCAGGCGTGCCGCACTCACTTGATGAGGAGCAGGTGTGCCGCATTACAATGTGCCACGAACGATGTGCCGTGTTGTCGAGCAGACATTCATGAAAGGTAATTACCAATACAGCTAGTTATCCTCATTTGTACATATGTGTATCTCTGGAATCTTCCGTGTGTACCAACGACAGGAGTCTTCACAGCCAGCGTTCAGACTGGAGATCAGTCAGCAGTCAAAAGATGATGAACAATACGCTTCAGAGTTTCATTTTTGAGATCATGTTTTATCAGTGGAACACTTTATTTTAAAAAGTGTTCATTTTTTCAGTCAGCAGTAATCAACAATTCACTTAATTGTGAATTGATGTATCTTCAGTTCAGATCAAGTCTATTATTCAGTATTAAAATACTGAATTTTTCAAGTCATGTAATCAGTAAGTATAAGCTTTAAGTTAAGCTTGTACATTCCAGTTTTAGTATTTCCGAGGACGGAAATATTTTAAGGGGGATAGATTGTAACGCCCCGCATTTTATTAATAAAGGAAAATACTAGCTTTTAGTTTTAAGCTAGCCTTTATTAATAAATAGTCATGTTAATGTTCAAATTCAGATTAATCAGTCAGTTATATTCTATGTTCGAGTATAAGTCGATATATTATTCGGTTAATTATTTCAGTAACCGGATAAGTTTCCAGATTTAATTCTGATTCATTAATGAGTCCGGAATTAATTATTCAGTCAGCAATTTTCCGTCATGTTAATCATGTTTTTTGTTCCGATATTAATTTTAAGAATTAAATTAGTTCAGTCATTTCAGTTAAATTACCGGAAATTATTTTCGACGTACCGGTTACGTTCGGAATAATTTTGGTAATTAAGAATCATGTTGAATTAAATAATTAAACATGTTTAAGTGGTTAATTAGCAAGTTAATCACATATTAAAGCCACAAAAACCGTACGGAAATTTCAATTTATTCATCAAATGTCGTACGCTATTGTGAGGTAAATTAGTGGGTTTTGTCCAACCTTTTCTTCATTTATAAGAATGTTAACGTGTCATTGTGTGGATTAACTTGGTGATTAGTCACCTAAGTAAGCCTTGCCTCACTCCAAGTGTCATTAGCTTATGAAATCTCCAAACAACTCATCAAGCACCTCCCTAATTTGGTTATATAAATAGATGGGAGTTGGAGATTTTTGCTCTCCATTTCTTCCTCTTGTACATGATATACTTCAGCCTCATGTTTATATCCGAGTGAGAGAGAGTAGTTTGGAGAGAAGGCTACCGCAAGTTAATTAGCTCTACCGCACGCATAGCAGCACACACGCACGGCGATCCGAGAACACGCGCATCACACGGTACGCAAGCAGAAGGTCACGCCGATCACGGGAACCCGAGGAGTCTTATCGCCCGAGCTTAGTTGGAGGTAATTCCCGGCGATTGTAAGGCTGAGAATATCATGCTTATTGAATTCAGCTTTTAGTTCCGGCTTTCATGCGTGTCTTTTGTCGTTAAGGCCGTGCGAGAAGCCGTGCCGAGTGATGTCATGTTCTAAGTTGAATTCTCCGAACAATTTTCGTATGTTTAGCCTTTATATGTAATATCATGTTCAGATTAGCTTAAGTGTTTGGAGAGATTTCATGTTTAAAGTGTCGTGTCGGCCGAAGGGCGTGGCCGTGCACGTAGCACGCGCCACGGGCCGTTCACGAGTAGCATATTTGCTAAGTAGATATTCTTTCGAACCAGCATGTTCAATTGTTCAGTATATCATGTCCAAGTTCAGTTAAGTGTATTTTGCCAAGAGTAAATGAGATTCGGTCGTAAAACGGCTTAACGCCGTCGGCGGCGCACGGTGCGTCTGCCGCGGCAAAAATCAGTCCATTGAGCCAAACTTTATTTTTTCAGTTTAAACCTGTTCATGTGTTCATGTTATGCCATTTGAGGCCAGTATGTTCGGGAGTTGTTGCCGGACGATCGGCAAGGGCCGGCCGTGGCCGCGCTGTCCGCACACATCGGCAGCAGCGCGCCCGGCAGCCAACCGCGTG